GTATACCTATGCTGAAAATTACAGGCCTCTCTCATCTTTTTAAGTGGGAGAACTTGCACAATTGGTGGCTGACTAAATACCTTTTTGCCCCACTGTATGCTGAACTTCCTGTTGTAACAGAACCCAAGAAGAGAATTGGTCTGAGGGTCTATTCAGCTAGCCCACTGTTTTCAAAGCAGTTGTTTGAAGCTCATGGAGAAATCCCTTACTTTCCAAAACCATGTTTGGAAGATTCTCTGAATATGAAGATTCTATCACAAATGGCCACATGTAGCAATATGGATGTGCTTTATCATGTCTAAAAGAAGTATATTAATAGTCATCCAGTGAGCAGTGGGAAAATCCTAATCTCTTGAAGACTTGATGTGGGCAGCGAGGAAGTATAAATTATTTTTGTCCTCTTATGTCTGTGAATTTTGACTCAACGTAGTAGAACTATTATCTGGTCCTATTTGCATGTTTGTGGGATTTTTTTTGTGGAGGTGGGGAGGAATAATCTTTTTTCAGCTTGACGCTGTAGGGGAGTGGGATTGTTTCCGGCTGCAACAGTGATTAGAATGCCTTGGCTGTGCAAGAATAACAAGTCCTAACCTTTCCCTCTGGAACTGAAGATAAAGAGTAGAATTTCTGCTAGGGTACTCCTAAGACATCCAGAAGGCCATTGGAGCAAAATCCCAGGCTTTTCCTTTATGCTGGAATAGGAGATGGTAAAGTAGTTCCAAGATTCAGAAGAAGGGTGGAGCTCACCTAGGGCGACTGTGTTGTGAGCAGAACTGTAAACCCATTTCTTTCTGCTGTACCGCTCTTTTGGTTTTTCTGTCTAAAATGTGCTAAATGCAGTAGTATATGAACTAAGACAATTGGTCACTTGTGTTCTCCACTCATTTCACTCATGTTGGTAAAAAAGTTACCACCAAACCAAGACACGTTATTTTAATCTGCTCTTTTTAATCTTCAGGCAAATCTTCTTATAGTAAAGCAGATGTAGTATATCTTTCTGTTCCTACACATCAATTTGATTTGAACTCCAGGGAAGGGATAGAGAAAACTAGGTTAAATCCACAAGATTTGTTCAGTGTCTTTCTGCTGGGAAAATACCACATTCAGTTAAAAAGCTTTAAGAGAGTAGTTGAAGATTTCTTGTAGATCTGAAAACAACAATATCTATGTGTTCTTGTTTTACTTAGGTGAACATTTTTAACCTTAAGAGATACTGATATGGAAAGAGTGACATTTTGGTAGCTGATATGCAGATCTGTAAATATTAACTGAATCCTTTTTTTTTTGGTACAGATCGTGAGGACCAATCAATTCTTTGCACGTAAGTAAATATATTTTGATTTTCAACTTTTTTTTTAATGCTAGCATGTGACAAGGGCTAATATTAGCTTTTCAGCTCATTTTGGACATTGCTTCTGAAAAATATTTTAGAAATGTTAACATTCATAAAGTAATCTCTTGGGAACAGATCATTGCTATCAAATATTGAAATCAGTTGACATGTTCTTCCCTTAGAAGAATCACTTCTATACAAACTGCTATAAAATCATATTTAAAATAGTGACAGGGGAAAAATGGAAACAAGTCTTGCCATTTGAAAACTTGAATAGAAAACTTGTAGAGCCTATTTTGCATTCACAAAATATTTTGCTCTCTTCCTCGCAGCTATTCTAGAATAACAAGCTTTATAGGGCTTTTTATGTTTTGTTCCTCTTTTGAGAGGGAGTCTGATTTTTAGGACCAAACTGTTCATTCACCCTTCATAATATTTAGTAGAATTTTCAGTTGTGATATCATAATGTCTACTGCTTTCCTGCCACTGGCAGCTCATGATACTTAATAGTACTGAAGAAATGCAGAAATTTGTAAGTCCTAATGTAAGAAGTTCTTCAGAACAACATGTAGAGAGAATTAAATGCAGTTTTCCAGTACGTTCAAGCCTAAATTGAGATTTAAACCTTGCTTTCTCAGTTCAAGATTGTGATTCATATAATAAATCCCTTAACCTAAATAAAAATTACTGATTACCTTTTTTAATATCAAAGAACTGATATTAGTTGATTACCTTTAGCCATCATTGTTGTCTTGATTATGTATGAAGTAGCAAAGCAGTGTATTTATTAGAGTTATAACACTTTCAATTACCTTCTAGCTCTTTTCCAGATAGTAGCTAGTCTGTTTTAAGTTGCTTTCCAGACATTGATGGTCCTGTTCTAGTGAAGTATGGAGTTCCATTATATTCTTAATGCCCATGTTTATTTTCACTAATAAACAGCAGCAGCAGAGAAGAATTAACAGTGGAATAATCAAGCAGTTTAATTTCAAATTCTATAAAATACCCCTCTCTATTCCATGTTTTGCTTTATCACCAGCCCAATTTCAAACCTTCAAAGCTGTCTAGCGGTAAGACAATTTATAATCAAAATCCACTAATTACAAAACAGCACATTAAAATCAACTGACATTTATGCTTTTTCAGACAGGCTGTTCTCAACTGTTGTTATATCATTGCTATCTTCTCCCAGTCTTGTAGTGTTTCTTCTGCAGATTGGTTGACCAGCAGTGGTCAGCATGGACTGTCATCTCACTTACTCTTGTAGTCCTGAGTAACCAATCAGAAGTTCTGAATTTTGTTTTGTTCAAACAGAAGTCCTTCAAGTTTTGCTCCATCAGAATGCAACAGCTTGGAACATTCTAATGGGGTGGAGCTCATTAACCCTAAGTTCAAAATAGTAGGTTTTCTATTTCATGCAAATTCATGGTAATTCCCATCATGAGTAACCTCTTATTGTAGATTTTCTGTTTGGGTAAGACTAGAACATACACTAAATGTGTGATTTAGCTCTAGACGAATGAACTCCAGTTAAATGGTGTGGGACAGTATGAATGAGACATCTCTTTCTCTTTCTCTTGATATAGCCGACACTCTTACCCTCTTTATCAGTATGGTTTGAAATTTTAGGAAGAATGGATTTCCATAAATTGCCAGGGTAGTTGTTTATCTGTGACACATCAAATTGTTTCACCTTTTCTTCCTACTGTACATACACAGATTCATGTGGAAGTAGTGAAAGCAAAAGCTAAGGACATTGGTGATGTGAAAGATAAAGTTAACAGTCATCAGGCTGTTTAGAAACAGGGTTCTAGACAGTTTAGTTAATAATAAAACAGATGACAAAGTTCTAGAATGGAATAAGGATGCATGACAAATTAGTTTCATATAAGGAGAATTTACCCAGTTCATACTTCTGAATAAATAAAATCTGGGTTGCAGTTATATTCCAAAATCCATTTCTAAT